CTAGGGATTCGATATAAATTCTATAGTATGGTGACCAAAACTGAACTGCATCAGCCAAGTGAGGTTTCACATATACAAGATATAGTTTAAGGATAACCTCACTAGTCTTGTAACTAACACTCTATTTGAATGAATCCAAGTACCTCTTTAGCCTCATTTCAAGTACAGTGGTCCCTCGGTTAACGAGCACAATCCGTTCCAGCAGGTTGCTCGTTAACTGAAACCATTGTTTCAATGGGGTTTTCGGTAATTGGTTCCAGCTCACCGAAAATTGCCTAAATTCAACAAAAATGGTAGAAAAGTTCACTTACTTTGAGGTGTGTATGTAGAAGGCTCCTGGATGATGATGATGATGATGTGAGTTTGAAGTGGGAGGTGGAGGAGGAGAAGGGAGAAGAGAAGGAAGTGGAGGTGGAGGAGAAGCATTTTACTGCTTCTTGGAAGGTGAGTCACCTTCCATGAAAATGTCAGGAACCTCTGGACTGACAGATTCTCCACCATGAACATCCTCTCTCCTTCTTGAAGTGGAAGGCTGAGGGATAGCATCTTGTTCCCTCTGCCTTTTACTGAAGAAAGTGTCAATTGTGGTCTGTTGGGCATCTGTCCTCCTCACCATTAACTTATGTTTAAAGAAGGAGACCACTGAGTCCTCAACATGACACAAAGTTAGTTCAGTTTTTTCCACTTCTGGGTGCTTTGAAGCCAGTTCCCTGAACTTCTCCCAGTAGTAAATCACATCTTTCAACTGTTTAGCTGACATATGGTCATCACTTTCAATTTCCTCCTCACCACTGTCAGCCTCTACCTGTAACATCTCATCCAGTTGCTTTAAGTCATCAGGAGTAAGTTCCTCCTCATGAGACATCACAAGCTCTTCCACATCCTCCTCCTCCATTTCAAGGACCAATTGATACAATCTCCTGGTCCAACTCTGTTTCTTCCTCAAATCCCTCAAAATCATGGCCTACTGATGGCCACAGTGCTTTCCATGAAGAATTGAGGGATCTAGTGGAGACTTCTTGCCATGATGACACAATCAATTTTACAGCCTCCAGGATGTTGAATTGTGCCTTCCAGAAATGTTTCAGTGTTAATTCAGGATCATTGGAAGTTGCCTGATGACACCTCCTTAACATTTTCTTCATGTACAACTTCTTGAAGTTGCTGATCACATTCTGGTCCATTGGCTGTATGATTGATGTAGTGTTTGGAGGCAAAAACAACACTTTCACAAAGTCAAATTGATACTCCAAATTTCTGGCAAGGTCAGGGTCATGACCAGGAGCATTATCCACGAGGAAAAGAGCCTTTAAAGGGCGTTTATTGGTGGTTAGGTATCTCTTGACAGAAGGGCAAAACACATCAACAGCCCATTCATTAAAGAGCTGTCTTGTCACCCATGCCTTACGGTTGGACTTCCAATAAACTCCAAGCTTTGTTCTTACCACTTTGTTGCTTGAACACCCTGGGATTTTCAGAGTGGTAGACAAGCATAGGCTTCAGTCGGAAATCCCCTGAAGCATTGGCACCAAGCAATAGAGTAAGACGGTCTTTCATGGGTTTATGCCCAGGTAAAGAGGCTTTATCTCTGGTGATGAATGTTCTTTTGGGCATCTTTTTCCAGAACAGCCCAGTTTCGTCCACAATAAACACTTGCTGCGGAAGATAATTTTCTTCTTCCATCAGTTCTTTAAATTCATCTAAAAACTTTGCTGCCCCTTCCTTATCAGCACTAGCAGCTTCACCATGCCTAACAACACTGAAAATGTCACTTCTTTTCTTAAATTTTTCGAACCAGCCTTTGCTGGCCCAAAATCTTCAAATTCTGTGCCTGAAGAACCAGGTTGATCTGTCTTTAAATGTTCGTAAATCTCCCTGGCTCTTTCACAAATGAATTCAGTAGAAACTTAATCATCTTTCATCTGTTTTTCCCTAATCCAGATGATAAGTAACCTCTCAGTTTCTGCAATTAGGGATCTACTTTTAAACACGTGTAGATTTGTCTCTCACTTTCACTTCTTTAAATTTGTCTGTCTGTGCAAGAATTGTCGACACAGTTGATGTCGACATGCCACATTCTTTGCATAGCGCATTTGTTCTAATGCCTTGTTCATGTTTTTTTATGATTTCCTGCTTGGTTTGGATTGAAATCGCTTTTCTTGATCTCATAGGCCCAATGCTGGATTCAAACAATGTCAACACGTGTTTTTTAAAGTTAAACTTGTTGTAAATAAAGAGTATTTTCTTTAAAATAACACTGCACTGTGCTATATATTGTCAATATGTAAAATAAATTTCAAAATGACCAATAATTTGCTTGGAAACACAGAAAAAAAACGTTTAGTTGAAGAGAGTCTCAAGCAAGATGTTACCTCCAGTGAAAACAGAGAGAGACTAACGCCTGTTTGCTGTGGTAAGAGGCTGGATGCCGCTCATTAAACTAGTCACTTTACCTTCAGTTATGTTCAATAATTGTTAAAATGACTACAAAATTTAATATTAAACTTTTAAAATTATTGAATAGTATAAACTTCTTGATATATACTAAAATAATAAGGAATTTATGCCCTAGAACCGATTAATGTATTGGCGGACTAATACTACAGCTGGTTGACCGCCCAGTGCAAGCCAAAACTTGTTGAGGTCGGCTCGTAAGAAACTCGTTAACCGAGGGGTTGCTCGTTAACCGAATTTAAGAATCTTATGGGAGGTAACTCATTAACCGAAATCTCATTAACCTAGGCGCTCGTTAACCGAGGGACCACTGTATGTATACATTGCTCCCTTGGTTTAAGGTTCCTACATATCATTACCCCTAAATCTTTCTCATAGTTGAATTTCCATATACAGTACAGCACTGTATCTTTTAGTTTTACCCTCTTTGTCACTGATGAATTCATTGGTCGCGTCTCTGTTACGCACTGGTGGCAAGTACTAGGCATGCACTGGCTCTTGAATGTACTGTATCTGAACCTTCTCCAGTGTTGATCAAGTCTGGTGTTGAAAGAGCTCATACTCAGCACCATCACAACACACACTGGCAGGTTGTTCCAAGAGTTCACAATTCTCACTCTGAAAAGGTTTACCTTCACAGTTTTCTGAACTTGTGGCTTCTTCAGCTGTGACCCCTTGTAGGGTGGGGGTCCACCAGCTCCAGGTATGCACACTCGAATAAGAAGTGCCTTTTGAGATGTTTATACAGTATGCCTCAATTAGGTCACCCCTTGCCCGTCTGTTGTATAAGCTAGGCAGTTGCAGGCACTCTAATCTCTCTGGATGACTGAGGAACTGGAGTGCAGGCACCAGTCTGGTGGCCCTCCCTTGGACATTTTCAGTCAACTGAAATATTGTTCATCTGATATCTGGTTTCCATGTTTACATCTCTTAGGCTAAGTACTTTATATTTTTCTGCATCAAATTTCATCTGCCATTTTTTTGACCAAGAGAAAAGTTTGTTTAGATCTTCTTGTAATTTTTTGGAGTTCTCGTCAGATTTAATTACACCTCCTATTTTAGTGTTACCATCAAATTTACTTTTGTTGCTGTCTACATCCATATCTATATCATTAATTTTTCATAAGCTCTATTTCATCAATAAAATATATTATTTTTATTAATTCTGAAAATTATAAATATAATGATAGATTTCTGTTACATGATGAGTTTCACCCAGTCATGGTGCTCAATAAGAATGATCGATTCCAATTCCCGATTGATACTACAACATGTCTGGTTATTATATTACACTGCCAGCATCTCTTAGAGACAACTGCATTTCATTGATAATATTCGTAAACATGGTTCTGATCTTCAACTAGTTTGTCAACACTGCACTTACACTTCAGATAATGTGGCATCGTAAGAAGCACATCAAGCCAAACCCTGAAGCAGTTTGTAAATCCATCTATAGAGAGACCTTGAATACAAATGTAAAAATACAGTTCACTCCTTAATTTATGAAGCAGAAATTTAAAGGTGCAGATTGTACAGAAAAAAAAAGGGGGGTATAAAGATGCGATTAGAAATACTGTACAGTGAGTTCTGCTATAACGCGTGTTTTGATAACGCGAATTTGCTCTAACGCGATTTATGAATTAGGAACGATATTTGTATAACGCGAACGCTTGTTTGCTATAACGCGATTTTTGCTTACTATTTCTCCAATTTTGTGGTACTGTATTAACTGTGAATATAGTAAAGAAGAATATCAACAAGAAGCGTTCTGGTGATAGAATTCCCGGTGATGATCGTAAAAGAAAGGATATAACACTTGAAGAGAAGTTCGATTTTATCAACCTCAAAATCACCCTTCTCCCCCATCAAGTAAAGTGTTACATTTACTGTATGATTTCATTATTAGATATGAATGTAACATTTATTTAGACTGTGCTATCCTTTGTGTTAGGCTAACTACTAAATTTTTTCGATTTTGAGTAATCTGCACCTAACCCTATTTTCTCCATAAGCCCTGTTATTTCTATTACGCGATTTTCTATAACACGATATTTTACAAGAACACAATTATCGCGTTATAGCAGAACTACCTGTAGTGCCGTCTGTAGAAAAACCTTCAAAACCATGGCTTCCATGGTATCGATTTATGAGGAGATACAGCAGTTACTTGTTTACAATAGTTCAACCTAAATGTGTCAGTTTTCACCTTGCTAACCACAACCACTGCTCTTCATCACACACACAAATGGTGGAGTAACCGTACTAACCACCTTGAAAATTTTTGATGAAATTGCCTGGTGACAAAATGTCTGCCCACCAACCACCTTAACCCCTTCACTCCAATCAAATCTTTAAAGACCCTCTCATGGATCATTTCCAAATCCAACCCCGAGACTTCCATTGTGTATTCATCTTTGCTTCATACATTATCCAGCTCCACACATTTTCTCCACTTTTGGATTGGCTGCATTGAAAATATTTTTTTTTTTACTTTTAGATAATGATTTTCCAAGGTTATACAGTACAAAGGTTAGTGAATAGGTCAATATGTTCATCAATTTATTCATCCTTTAATCCCAATAAATTTATTACTTCTGCTCATTTTAACTGTGTTAAAAACAAGAATGTTGGACAAAATATTAACATGTTTTATAGTCTTTAAGGTAATTCATCCACGTGTAGTCCGTCTTACTTAACTTCGTACAGTATTTGTTCATAACTATAAATGTACAGGGTACTAGTTTGATCTTCAAAGATTATGTTTTTTATAGAGATCAATTATCTCCTGTACATCACCAGCAGAACCAAGGAAGATTGGAATACGTTGATGGATATCTGTAGGCACAACATCTGGAAGTAAATTTTTTTTTAAAGCATTATTGACTTTTTCCACTATAGGTAAGGCTTTAAACAACACTATCTAATCATCTTTTGAACCAAAAGATTTGTCAGCGGGACCTTTAATGTACTTGAATGTAGCCAAACTTGAGAAACCTTACAAATATCTCCTCTGGTCTTTTGATTCCTTCATTATTGCATGCTCTGTTAATTCCATTAACCTTCTGTGCATATATCGTACAACAATTGCTGGATGGAGGATCACACCATTCTGGACATGTCTCGTAACTATTCACAGGCCCATTTTAAGTTTCCCATACTTTGTTTTTGCTAAGCATTTTTTAAGAGGCTTCTAGGAACTGCCCCAAGGCCATTTAGGTCTCTGGGACATACATTCATCAGCTGAGTCAAGTTAGGTGATATGCCCTACAGTGGAGGAAATTCGCTATTATTATTTTATTATTATTGGGAGATGAGGATGACCCTCCATATTAACACTCTTGGAGTTTTCATATGCAAATTTGCGTATGATCTAAATTATCGCTTTAGGGTATTCATACGCATATTTGTGTATGAACTAAAAATTTACAATAAAACAATTTTGTTTGCATATGAACACTAAACAAGCAAGATGCACACTTGGCAACGTAGGTGTGATCTGGCACCTATGTAGACTACCTTCAAGGTTACGTGAGTGACCACACCAGTTGCCCTTTGTGGTCCAACAATGGTACAAGATGTAACCTTGACGTATATTTCCCACCATTTTCTTGAGGCTTGTGCAGATTTCCCATTCATCACAGTGATTATATTTATTGACAACAGTGTTGTGATAGTTTTGAACCATGCCTCGTGTTGCTGGTGGAGGGGTGGGAAAACGTAAAAACCTAGTGATAGTGTGGTGCCTCCGAAGGGCTCTCCCAGTGTCCTTGGCCCTTCTAGTGTAAGTGATAGTTTATCTGGCCTTTCAACAAGCAGTCCTAGTGCGAAAGAAACTGCCCAGCATGTCGTTGTGACTAAAAGAAAAAAAAAATGCACATGTGGCATCTCAACCATCGCAACGTGGCTTACCTCATGACCACTCATCTCCCTTACAAGTGCGTGCTAAAACTAGATTTAGTCGACTTGTTCAGACTAAGTACGACACTGTGGGGCATGGAAGAGGAATGAGGTTCATATTGCAATCACATGAAGTAACAAAGATATAAAGTCCAAGTATAAACATTTTCATTCAGTATAAACAAAAATTTTTTGTTCTACTCGCACTTATGTATAGAAATAATAAATTTATCGTGATTTCTCATATAGAACTGTTTTTAGATAATTTATATGCAATGCAAAATATCCCACCTTTTTATCTCTTAATAGCAAGCTTGCTATGACATTATGTACAATTATCTCTCGTGTGGTGAGGTGAGTAAACAGCCAGACCCTGAGCATCTCGCTGGAGACCCCCTCCCTACACCCAAGAGTGTTAATGAATATGGTCACTTTCCTAAATATTTGACCATTGAATCTGGACAAAAATGAACTCAAATAATTTAAATATTTTTTAAGCACAACTTCACTGCTTCTTATCTTGCATTTATTGTCAGTTAGGTATATATTTTTTCCCCTCCTTGAAATCACAATTTTATTTTCTAAAAGAACTTAATACTTTTTTTCTCGATATTCACCCAAACATTGTGTCTTGGTGATGAGGGCATGGGTCAATGGTCTGATATTTCATGGGGTACCAAGTGAGAAAATGTTTGAGAACCTAGAATGTGATGCTAGTTTAGCCAAAATAAGGCAAATTCCAAATTATAACCAATTGTCTAATAGCACTGACATGTAATATACAGTACTGTATAATACTGTAGTTGTATTTTTTATCTACTGTTTTTGTACAGTACAAATTACAGTATATTAGTGATTAATAACAAAGATTTAGTTCAGCCAACAGGCAGGTTAGATGGGGAAATAGCTTTTGTTCCTTGCACTCTTTAATTTAGCACTAAGTAATAGAATAAAGCTTTTTTGTTTCTTATCAGCATTATAAATTCAAAATAGGTGAATTTGGATATATGCAAGGACCCTTTTCCAGCCAGAAATTAAATTAAATGTGACAATTCAGTCTTAGTTGAGCATGAGAAATTATGTTCCTTGTCAAATGTGAGTCTGTGCAATGCAAAGCTGCGTGTGCCAAATTATTTGTGGTACTAAACTGTTCATAACAAAAGCATGTCTACTAATACACAAGATAACACAAGTTATTAGATGGAAACTGCTTTAATTTGTATAAACAGTATAAATAACATTATTTAAAACATATACCGGTATGTATATTATTTTTTTTACATTAATTTTACTGCAGCTACAACCAGGGTCTTATTTTCTTCAGTTTCTTATGTTGAACCATTGTTCCGGGTGTAAACACTAATGAAAACAATGATGTCCCATCTCCTCTTGTGTGACCTTATTAATATTGTATTCATAAACATTATTTAAAGAATATACTGTAGTTTACATTTTTCATTAAATTTTATTGTTTTGGGGGAAAAGAGGGTAAAAGGCCACACAAAAGATATGAAAAGGTCAGACTTTGGAATGCATCTCATTATTATTGCTGGATTTTAATGGTAATTAAAGATTCATGATATGATGATTAATCTTACACTGCAATATTGGAGGAGACATTACCGTCGTTATTCGAGACTGTACTGTATTTTGTTTTATTTGGAGACTATTGTATTGTTTAAATGTCAAGAAATACTGTCAAAATGGTTCAGGGGCATTATAATCATGTTGTGGAACATATCCCTATTTTATATTTAAATACAGGTAGTTATTCGTTTTAGGTAATTTCAGCTTCTGCAAACTGAGGTTAGAAATTTTCACAAACCGCTGAATCAAGACAAATTATGAATGATTTAGTGTGTGTACAATGTATAAAATCCTTTTCCTACTATGATGGTGGAAGCCAGACAGGTATTGATGCCTGCACATTTTTTTTCCACAAAAGTGTGGAGATCCACATTAAAACAATTTGTGTTTGTGACCACGTATGTGACTCAAGTCTATGTGGGCTTATATTTAAGCAAGATGAGCAGGTATGATTGCTCAAAAATGTATATTACAGTATACAAAAGATTTAAGAAAGTTACTCAAACAAAACACTTACCAAGAACACGCATCTTGCCAGTGGTTGCTTTGCCTCCTGCCTGCTCCACCAAAAATGCCATTGGATTACACTCATACAAGAGTCGCAACTGTAGAAAAGAATTAAATTGTCATAATTACCAAACTATGAATGGAAAGAAGAACAGATAAGTTGTATTTCTCCACTCCAAGTGTTGATAAAATAATTTGGAATGAAAAACTTAGGTTTTTTAATTAGTCCAGACAGGTACCAAAAATTATTCCAACAGATTCTATACAGTACATACTTCACTTCAACGAGTTTCACATTAAAGTTTCATTACAATAACAACAGTAATGAAATGCGACACCTCAACACATTAATGATACATTTCAACACAATAACGATCTGTAGTGCAAGTTGATAGTCACATTTGGCGGTCATCTTGACGATGTCAGCGAGCGGGGTGGTTTGTTTTGATTAGAGCGTGTGAACAGGAGGTGTGGTGTATCCTACTCACTTATCAGTGAAGGCACTGTTGATGATAATGTTCAAGATTAACCTGTGTGTGATCTGTTCCATGATTTACCACTAGACTTCACTGGCTTTGAGACTGAAGGATCAGTTGGTGGAGGTGCTGGGGAGGAAGTGCAGTGTGGGGGCAGGGGGGCACTAACACCACTCCCCTGCCTCAGATGACAGCAAACCTCAGATGACAGCAAACAGTTTCATTAAGCATTTCAATGTGTCCAAAAGTTAGTTATTAATAGTTATTAATTCTACATGAAATATTAATATGTGTGAATAAGTGGTTGTAATTTTTTTGTGGGATTTATTGGGGGTGAAAGTGTCTGAGGGCTGGTACCAATTGACCCATTTAGCATGTAAATTATACTCGCCACATTAACGATTTTCACTTTAATGACCATTTTTGTGGTACCAATTAGTCGTCATAGTGAAGTATGCACTGTATTCCAATAATAATTAAGCTACTAGAGATTATTGATTTGATTAGATTGTGGTGCCTAACTAATTTCTGAAGTGAAGTTACATGCAATATTCTGTAAAAAAAAAAAAAATATATCTGAAAAACAAGTTGAACAGAAGCAGCTGCTGCATCACTGAGGTACTCATACCTAATCATGTGTGCTGATGAATTTAAGGGATAAAGAATCTTTTCTCCTTTATCAGAGACAAAGGGGTTTTGTTACAACACACTGAATCAAACTGATGATTGGCTTGTTAATGTTCTTATCACAGAACTTTAGACAAACTTGAATTAGACATACTACAGGTACAGACCCTCAAAACAAGATCTTAGAAAACCTGAAATTCTTGAAAAACAGAGTTTCTACTCTTGGTTAATTTTTTTTCTTGGTAATTCAAGTTTAGCTTACACACACACACACACAGCTGAATGTTATTTTTCAAGCAAAAAATATATATGAAGGGTGGTAAAAAAAAAAGTTGGTAAATGGTACTGCTGTATTGAAATCCAGCGTATAGTGGTTCTATTATAATGTTAGAACAGTGTTAAAAATCCTAAAATTATTAATTATCCCTCCATACACCTTATAGTGAATTATTCTTTAGGCATCATTGACTTTCGCCTTGCTGTTTGTTTTTTATTCACCATCCATTTATTCTGATATATGTGTACAGTATTACCAAATAAACTTATCCCCATAATTTTACAACTTATCTCTAAGAACTAAAATATTTCAAACAATAGTCTTCACAAATAATTTCTTTGGAATCCTTTTACAAAAGACAACTTAACAATTTATCACATATACAGTACAGTACTTCTAGATGTCTATACATACATATGAATGCTGTATCATTTATATTGCACATCTAAGCTTCCAATAAAAAAAAAAAAATATTGAAAATCAACCCTTGAATATTTGTTGGTGCTTTAGTCTTAAGTTGTATCAGTAGTTGCATTGACAGGTTTCATGGAGCAAACTATAATTGAAAACACATATGTCATCTTACCTTGCCCTTGGGAGAATCTGTTGTTGCAGGATACATGAAGATTCCACCATACTTAATAGTACGGTGAACATCTGCAACCATGGAACCAATGTATCTGGCTCCTGCTTTCTTGGCCTGTAAAATGATTATTGTTGAGCACGAATTTTAAATCTCATAGTGGTACAGTATCTCGCTATATTGGACTAACTGGGGGGAAGGCTGGACTGATAAAACAATTTTTCTTATAAATCTGATAATCCTAAGCCAAGCATTATTGGACCTTTGGGGGATTTATATCATGACTCGGAGTAACTTAAGTTTTGGTTATAGTTACTACAGGTTCACCGTGTGATATCCTGGAATCTGAGAAGCAGTAAATTTTCACCATTATACTATGTCATGCAATGGGCCTAAGCCAAACTTGCATGAATTACCCATGTGACCTAAACCTATACAATATGATGGCAATGAAACCTAACAGCTGCTTTAAGTTGCATTTGTACAGTACTGTACAGTATAGACAAATACAGGTTGAGTCTGCAGAGCACCTGATTAGTCCAGTCAGATGACTTGGCTGCCAATGTCTCAATGTATCTTAACTTGTAATCCACAAAGTTCTGTGTCCATATTAATCAATGCTCCAGTTTTAAGAGTATATTAGGAGTTCAACATTCAGTAAAGTCATTTTATAGTAAAGTATCTGTCAATCAAAAAGTTTGGAACCAAGAGGCTTCTGTAAAATGGATAATCAGGCAAAGTGGATACAGTACCATTTTAACATGTATACAAAGAAAGCATGTAATAAACCATATTACTTGTCCATTTTTGGTTAGATTATCGGATTCTCCACATACCTGTACACTAAATTATTTTCTATCTCTCAATCTAAGACTATAACTTTTCAAACTTGTATGAAGACAAATAGTTGTCATTCACACCACTATGCAGTCATTGACCCATTTTTTTTTTTTACGGGGATAAGCCCACCCGGGCACAGGTTACTGACCCACATCAGGGCTTGGGGGGCGAAATTATTATAATAATAATAATAACTATTATAATAATAATTAATAAATATTAATAACAAAATACTAAAAAAAAAATATTAAACAATCATAATCATAAATAAATACAAAATCGAAAAAATAAATCAAGACTGAGAAATGATAAACATTATGCATGTTGTATTGTCAAAGTAAGAGAAACAATTGAAACCCTGCAATTGTGTGTAAATGAAGCAGAAAGTCAGATCAGCAACCTGGGACTTGGTCACAATTTTTTTGATGCCATATGGCAGCAGGGTCTACCATTAGACAACACATTATGCTTCCAATATATTGCCAGGCGGTAGTACCTCCCTGTTTGATAGCTGCCTACTACCGATTGTCCATTTTTTCCCTCATTTACGCATGTTATATGCTGTACTGTATAAGGAAAATTAAATAAAAGGAGATTTTGTACTTAAAATCTTCTTATTTTGGTATATTATTTCGTAGACATTCAATTGACTGGTACTTTACTGTACAAGTTTATAATTGATTCTGAATGTGTATAGACAATGCAGGTTTAGTTCAGCATGCTCGTAAACAGTGCAAATATACAATGTATACATGGTAAAAAAAAAATCTTCACGGCTGGGTCAGATGAATTTTGAAATGATCAATATGACTTAGAACATAAGAACATAAGAAAGTGGGATACTGCCGGAGGCCGACTGGCCCATACAGGGCAGATCCCTTTCACACCCATCCCAGCACTTCCATGTGCCTATCCAACTTCGTCTTGAAGCTCCCTAGCGTCCCCGATCCTACTATAGCACTTCGGTAGCCTATTCCACATATCCACAACTCTATTACCAAACCAGTGCTTGCCTATATCCTTTCTGAATCGGAATTTATCTAATTTAAAGCCATTTGTTCTAGTTATTTCGTTATTACTGAGCTTCAGAACATCTTCCATTTTACCCTTGTTAATCCCACTTACCCACTTGAACACCTCTATCATATCTCCCCTAACTCTACGCCTCTCTAATGAATGCAAGCCTAAGCTTTTCAGTCTTTCTTCATATGGAAGGTTTGTAATATTATGGATCATTTTTGTCATTCTTCTTTGTACTCTCTCCAAAGAATCTATGTCCATTCTATCGAGATAACTTGCGTTATCTCGATAGGGTTGTCAAAATCCTTCATCCGTAATATCATATTGTCTCACAAATGGTGGCAAGATAATTTTTTTTTTTACCCTGTGTACATAAACCATGCAGATATACAACCAATACTGTACCTCATTTAAAGCAACAGAACTCAGTTTACATAGCCAAAAGTACTGTACTGTTCTCATTAGTGTTGTGGCTTCTCAGCACAGTATGTGGCAAACTATACTGAAACATTTTGAGATACAGTATTGGATAATGGGTGCCATTACCCAAAATTGTACAAGTCTATGTACTTTCAAAGATCATACCTTCTTTTCTCGAACATACTCTGAGACTGCTGGGTCCCACAGGTTTGCGTAACCTTCATTGAGACTGTAAATCTTGCCTTGTTCTTTTACTTGCATGTTTGGATCTGTTAGCACAAACTCGCCAATACTCTGAAAGATAATTTAAGTTTTGTCAAAAAAATACTGCAAAAACTAGAATCCAGAAATCGGCTATCTAAGAGTGTTAAAAAAGCTGGCAACTTAGATAATACTAAAACTAAAACAAATAAAGTCAATGATTCACAACAATAAGTCATTCTTGTTGCTATCACCATCATAACTGGTAAGTCAAGTCCTTTGCTGATGTCCACAGCTCTTTCTCCATCATATTCCATTAGAACATATCCTTTTAACTCGTAAATTCATGGCTTCCTAGCCTTCTTTAGTGCAGAGGCAACAATATGACTTGCTGGTTGTTTTATACAGTAATCCTGTGTTTTTCGCGGGAATTACATTCCTGAAACCCCTGCGAAAAGCCAAAACCGCGAATACTCTTTTAGGAATCACTGTACCTGTGGCCATCAAACAACTCAGGTAGGTCATGCACTTAACCACGCCATGCTCTCCACTCACGGCTCAGTGGTCACACTGATCACTGATGCACTGTACTGGCATTTACTAACATTATTATTTGAAACTAATCATATTGTAGTATAATAAATGGAAAAACATAAACACAGTTATATACCCAAAAAAATTATTTACAAGTAAATAAAAAATGTCCAATAAAACTGTTTTTTCTGTTAAGGTCATCACTATTCTTGATCTCTTGGTCACTTTAGAGTCTTTGCTAGTAATATTTGCCTTTGTTGAGGCTGGCTTACGTCCCGGAGCTATGTGGAATACACGTGGGAGGACAAACAGAAGAGGTAATCGCAGTAGCGTTCACTGTACAGTAGGCACGTGTGGACTGAGGCTTCTCAGAGCAGCGGGTGTCTGAGGCGGGAAAGGGTGGCGTCTGTTTGCCGCACTGCACTAGGGAATATCGAAAATGGCGCGAAATGAATTTTTTTTTTAAGGATATTTTATATTCTGTATACAGGTATATAATTTTTCAGTAAAAAAACACGCGAATTGTCAAAACCGCGATAAAAAACCCTATATTTTGCCGAGTTCTGCTAAAGCGTACATTACTACTTTATCCAATTTGCCATTTATTTATCTGTGTTCAAGTTTGGTCTAAAAGGAATTCACATTCATTGTCATCACAACACTTTCTGACATGTAATTTCAAGAGTTCACAGCTCTTACCAAAAAAAAAAAAAATTTCTTTACTTGTGATAAAAATTTCCAATAAATGCACAAGGTACAGGTGAGTCCTAATAAATACTGTAAGTAGCAAAGAGGTTAAAGTAAAGTACAGTACAGTAATGTTGACACTGATGCTAAGGTTTGCAGAGAAGAGGTAGGTGTTGTACGTACAGTATTTGTGAATGATGCCCAGAAACTTGCGTGAATTTTTTTTTGTATCATGGAGATAAGGCACCCCAGCTTATCTCCTCTGATAATTAAACATGAATACATGTTTAAAGTATCTGTAAAAAAATTTGTCTCATACTGTGTATACTATTTATATTTTGTGTATGGTTTAGGTTTGGTTAGCTTAGGTCAGGTTCAGTGTGAAGTTTAATTAATTTTTTTTGCAGTTCTCTCCTAAATAACCAAACCTAAACTATATTGTACACAGCATGAAATGGAACATTGTCAGATATATTTGACTCATTGACTGTAATATACTATACAGTACAGGTACTCCTCGACTTACGACCACCTGTATATACAACCGCCACCGTTGTATAAAATATTTTTAAAATTACGTATTTTCGAGTCCCGACGTTAGTGATCGCGCTGTGTACGGACAAAATTTTTGTTTGTAATTCCCTTTAAAATGGCTGGTAAGCGTAAAAGTGAGAGTTCTCGTGGTGCTGAGAAGAAAAAGAGACACCCATTTTAGATTTTCTATGTATTGTACTGTACTGTGTTATTTAAGCATTTTCGACTTACGACCCCTAACCCTGTCGTAAGTTGAGGACTGACTGTATACAGGTACAGTATATACTTATCTCCAAAACTACCTTGTACTGACTTATTGTATTTCAATTAGAAGTATGTTCCCCAATTCATTGGCAATTTTCTAATTAAACAACTTATGAAGGAGTAAATAGAGGATTTCCTGGGTACAGTGGAGTCGCAATAATTTGCAAGTTAGGTATTAGAAGACATCAGGAATTATACTTTAATCGATTTAAATAGAAATGAAATACCTGTAATTAGTTAGGTTTCACATGAGGCAAACCACACTACAGAAACTGTTTCAGTACACATTTTTAGCTTTATTTATATATACCTATATAAAAAAATCACAATATTTGTTTTACAGTAGACCCTTGCCATTCGCAAGGGATAGTTCCAAGAAATGGTGCGAATTGGCAAAACTGCGAATAGCAACTTATAGTACTACCTTATTGCACTACTGTATACCTACCGGTATACCAACCAACTGACCAACTGCGGCAGCACTCCTCCTCGCTTTTAACTTGCCTAATAATAAAACTTTCTTTGTCAGGGTCATCATTGACTTCTGTCTTTTACATTTCACTCCGCTAGCATTACTAGCACTGACATCAGGCAGTCTTTTAGGGACCATTTCACACAAACACTAAAGTTTTGAGAGTACAACATGAGATGCTGAGGGAAAGGGCTTGCAAGCTAACCACCATAGCCATCATCTGCTTACTGCGAATCAGCGAAATCGCGAATCGCAAACTTGTAAATGGCAAGGGTCTACTGTACTGACAAACAACAAATCACCTTTCCAGAATAATACAGAAAGAGTGTAAGTGCACTTAAGTACCAGTAAATGTAAGTGCTACTCATATTTATATACTTTTAACACTGTCGTGGTGATTTGACGTTTCTCAGTAAGAACCAATACTACTGTATGTACAGTATATGATTTTTAAGAAAATTTTGATTTCATCTTGAACACCAATGAACTGTAACTTATGATTTCAAGGGGGCAGAGGTCAAGAGACCCGTTCAGAAAATTCACAAATCTCTCACATTCATGATCCCCAAAAAGATGGGTTTGTAAGTGCAAATAAAAATGACACAGTAAAACAAGAAAGACTAACCGGATCCAGCATAAATCCATTAACTCCATTACCAGTGGATATGACCATCATTGTGGCTGAGCCATAAAGTGCATATCCAGCAGCCACAAGTGTATTGCCAGGTTGGAGTGCATCACTTACACTGGGAACAGAGTCTGATGACTTTCTGAAAGTGCAAACATCCTATATCAGCTAGTCCTTATTTAAAACTACAGTGTAACCTATAGTAGCATGTAATAGGCAATTAATTTTTGTATGCACCAAAAGACAAGGCTCCTGGCCCAATGTTCAGTAACTAAAGACTAAGTAAATTTCTCAAAACACAAAGTTGACCCTCAACTTATTCAAACTTCATTATATAATGATCCTATGACATGATATTCATCTGCAATACCATTATAACCACATTTAATACAAATTCTCTCTTTTCTTGGAATATTTTGATATCTACTAGTTACAATGGGTGATAATTTTGTCTCTATTATTCAATTTAAAAACTTAATTTTTTTAAAGTCAAAGAGATAATAACGAAAGATTTCATATTAGTGAGGAAATCTTGGGTCACGATAAACCTTCTGAATAGATTTATATGGGAGTGTTGTTTATACAGCTCAACTTTGAAGTCATAGGCCTGCGTACTAACTACTTGCATGAGGATTCTCATGGCTCAGAGATGGAATGTGACTTTGAAGTTTACCTGTACTAATTTGTAGCAAAGTTTATATTTAAAATATAGAATATGGTGGCTGAGAGGGGTATTCAATATTGATCCAAGAAATTTATCATATACTACGTACAGTACAATAGTACACAAAATAAATATTGAACACAAAAAGCAACTCATGGGGAATTTTAAAGTAAAAGCATGGAGACCTCTGTTATGTGTTTACAGCTTGTGTACAGTACAGTATACTTGTGTTTACTGTTACTTCATAAATACTGTACTGTATACAGTATACTGCAATACAGAATGAGATAATAAATATAAAATAATACTGACCTATAAATGGAAAAAATGGAGCCAATGGACACCAAACAGTCAATGTTGGAGGAGCCGTCAAGAGGATCAAAACATACAACATATTTCCCCTGATGGTCTTTCTCAACCTAGGAAAAATAAATGAATAGAAAATACTAAAGAATCCAGAATTTTCATTAAACTTCTACACATTAATTGACCCCAAATTTAAAACACCTTGGCAGTTTTTTAAATATACAATTTTAATTTATATCTAAACAAACTTTATATGCTGTAATGTTTCTAAAAATTCCAATGTTATAATGAATATACCATCCTAAACTGTGACTGTAGCTAGGGTGGGACAGCTGGTTGGGGTGCACTCTTGAGTGCTAAGCATGGGTCTTCTTCATGTCTCAATATGTGAGTGGGACTGAAATTTTGGCAAGCTGCTGCTTGGAGAATTTTTTTTAATCTTGTGATACTGTAGTTAAATTTTTGTTATGCCATATTTGAAAGAAAATTTATTGACCTGTTTCCTTTTGACAGCGTGTGGACCGTGTGACTTTTTACAGATCTTTTATGTTGTATATCGTAAACTACTACGGCCAATGAAGTGATCAATATATATATATATATATATATATATATATATATATATATATATATATATATATATATATATATATATATATATATATATATATATATATATATATATATATATATATAAATATCTAATAAGAATATAACGCTTCATCAATACTATTTGTTTTGACACTATGCATCAGAAGTATAGTACACATGCAAAATCCTCAAATTGTCCTTGTTTCATTTGAGCAATGGGGGCATAAGTATGGGAACATTAATTTTTGGAGAACAGATTTAAAAGTGGAAGCCTTTTGTATCAGTTAAACACAATAAACAGATGTTATAACTAAATTATGGTAATGGTCACTTTTTAGTTTGAAGACAAGGAGCCTTACCTCAATTACTGTCTTGTTTTCTTCAGATACAAGGAGACAGGTGGTGTAAGAGGAGGTAAGCATGTTGATAAACAGGTCGTTGGCGAGAACATCTAGCTTTTTCACCTCCTCCCCTTGTATGTTCACGTCACCAGCCATGCCATACCTGCCAAACATAACCCAAGTGTTGTCTTTTTACAGCAATAACACTCATACAGTGGCATATATTCCTAAAAAGCAAGGTAAGCTTGCTTACCTTACTAATATTCTTCCCTTCAAAATTAAAATAGCTATTGTTTAGTTAATGTACTATAGTATTTAATTGTATACAACATAGAATTCTGCATTTTTGTTATTTAAGTCTCAGTGAATTTAAACCTATTGTAATAGCAGTCTACAATTGTGAAATTTGCAAGACAAAACCATTTTGCTTTTGAAAATCTGTCCTTCGAATACACAAAATTAGATCTGCAGTAGCTGCTTCCATCCTCTAGCAAGGTAAAATTATATACCACTGCCAGATGTGATAAAGCCTATTATTTTAAATTACAGTATATTCAGCCACTTTTTCCCAAATCTATGTACATAAATAGGATTCGGATCACTCTAATATGCTGTGAAAAACATTCTGATGCTAAAATTTTCCCTCAATAATATTTGGTGTCAACACTATGAATTCCTTTTGCTAGAGATTTGGGCAACTAAAGCACAGCGTACTCTCGGTTGTCCCTCCCCAATACTACCCTCAACAGATTACTGTAGCATTACCAGATCAATCATAAATTTATATTTATAACAATTTCACAAGCAAGATTAAAAAAATAATTAAGATATTTCATGTTTCCTTTTCTCTAACCCGTACAATGTAATTTATTTCACTGGTCGGAATTACAGTAATCGGAAATAAGTTAAAATGTACCGAGGGTTGCTAATTGTCTAACAAAAACCTTATCCACTAGACTCATAGAACTTGACAGTAGTATTCAATGTCATTAACAGTCATTTGCTTACCCTAGCATTTTTTTTTTCAAAGCATGCCACTGCACTCATATTTATACAACTCTCATCATAGGCAGGTCAGGGTTTCTTAGTCCTGTACTGTGTGTATGTACACTGTATTTCGCTTCAATCATCAATGTTTTACGGCCATTTTCCAATTTTGTGTGGGTTAGATGTGATTACTGTATTGGATGGCAGTTGGTGGGTAAAACCAGAACAGGATGTTCTTTTCCTACACACCACCACAAACTCAGGGTGCCAACCCACAAAATGCAGCTGAGCCAGAGACCAGGAGATGGGTCCATTTCTGGTGACCCAATTACCATCAGACATGTTGAAGCAAAATTTTTGGGCTGGATGCTCTTCCTAACACCAACCCATAGGGTGGGAACAGCTGGCAAAGCAGAATCACAACTCCTGAGGTAATCTTAGTATATCCATCTTCAATACCTCTTGTGATGATAATGATGAAATGCAGGATACAATATCAAATGCAGCAATTCTGAAGAATAATATAATGACTCATTTCACTGTACACGATACCTATTTTGGGGAATCCGTGCTAATTGCACTAAATGATACACACACACAAAATCCAAACAGCCAGATTTGAGCTCAATAACTGACTACGGACAGTTGCTGTGCTTAGAGATAGCATGGTCAATTTCTTTGGATTAAGAAGATTAGTAAGGGTCACTGCCTTATGACCGGAACTTTGTGGATCCCTGCTGTCCCCTAGGGACTTGATCTCACTCTCCTCTACGTGGATATCAGTAGGCAATTTCATATTACTCGAAGAGAAAATGTGCAGTAATGTGCTTTCCTTTCTTACCATATCAAAATTCAATATTTACTTATAAAAACAGGCGATTTAGTGGTGCCAGTTTCCCTTTTCAAAAGTAGCCCAATATTAGGCAGGTAGCGGCAGCATTTTATTGCCCGCGGCAATCAGTTTAAAAGTATCCCAATTGGGCGGGTAAACCGCGATTTGGCAAGTGGCAACACTGGTATTTGGAATTTAGAAAGCGCTGAGAAACTCACTGAAGCGGCAACCACATAAACCACAGCTCCCACCTCCATTCACCACAGCATTACCGACTTCTAGTGACTCACCAAGCTGCTGTTAACTTTAGTTCTAATCAAAACCATTAAAGGTTCTGAAATGGGAGATATTGCAATCTTATCACACTTTAATCATATGAAATTGCCTACTGATATCCACGTCTGACCCTCCCACTGTTTGGTGATCGTTGATTGGCAGGCGAGAATGCAGGGTGCGCGCTGGTTGGTGGAGTTTAAGGTGTGTCAAGTAACCCCTGCCTCTGAAGGTCACCCACCAGCCACCACCTCCCGTCCTGTTGCAATCTCACTGATGTATACAATTATTAAAGTCATCATATAACTTTTATTTTCAAAGTCAGTGGCATATATATATATATATATATATATATATATATATATATATATATATATATATATATATATATATATATATATATATATATCATTTAGTCCGTATAGATTACTACCCAACATAGGTGACTTTATTCCTCCATGGTATCGATATGTAGATGATGTGCTTTGTCTATGGCCTAGAAACAGTGACCCAATGGATTTTTTAGACAAGCTTAATTATCCTGTATTTAGTATTGCCTTCAAAATTGAAAGGGATAAATGGATCCCTTCCATTTCTTGAAATGCTTATCATGAGAAATGGACATAACTATAAATTTAAGGTGTACCGAAAACCTACACAGGTAGAGCCTCAAACACTTTTTATCGAGTCAACATAAGTCTACCAACATGTCAGTTTTTTCTGCTATGTTTTTGAGATGTTTACGTATTTGTGACCCTGAATTTATTGAAGAACTGCAACACATTTAGTCCACTGCACAAAAACTTGGGTACCCTTCATTGTTTGTTGGTCGTTGTTTTAAAGGGGCTAAGCAATCCTTTTATTCTACTTAAACTAGGCAAGTTCCTACATTTAAGAATATTTTGACTACCTTATCGCAATGAATTTGTCCATTTAGTCCAGTCCCTTAAATTATGAAACATTAATGTTAAATAATAATGCTTAATAAATCAGGTTGTTAGATTAGGTTGGGTGATATTCATTGGTGCGCTTATTCTGATTATTTACAGACCAATTAGAAGTTTTTAAACCAGGAATATACTATATAGGAATAACGACTAATGCGCAATTATCCCTTCAACTTAAGGCATTTCATATACCCTATAGTATATTACTCTGGTTATGTATCGCTCATTTTCAGTAGAACTAAGGCAATCTGTTACCAAGGCAACCGTAATTGGCCGGCCGCCAGTGTCTGGTGGCCTTGGGTACGAGAGTTTACGAGATACCCCAAGGACAGCCGCCACCAGGCATGAAGCACATTATTACACCACCACCTAGAGACAGTCATCGTGTGGGGGCCGCACGTCTCACAGTGTTTTATAATTAACTGTGGTGCTGTACTGAGTTGTTTTTTAAATGCTCATCAGTTAAAAATAACAGAAGTTACTTTATGTTTGTCCACGTAACTAAGTCCATTTCATCAGATATCACTAAAAAGAGGATAAAGAGATTAATTTTGTCATATGTGTTTCAAAGTCTTTTTTGCTGAAGTTGGCCACTCGTTTTCGTAGTTTCGTGTTTGAGTACATTAGATAGTATTACACTTCGTCAAAAACTGAATTCATTTGCATACAGTATTATTATTACTATTTTTAATAGTTTGGTAATAATACATCTACTAGGGTTGCCATATCTGAACATTAAAAAAAGAGGACGTTCCCGAAGACATCCTGCCCCCCCCCCCCACACCTGGCACACACTTTGGCGCTCTGTAACCTTGATGCAGCCGTGACCGTTTAATGCTCTGGAAAAGTACAACAAATCGTAAGCACTAGCTGTGGCAACAAGCGACAAACCCACAACAAAGACTAAGATCAAACACTGTCACTGCAGGTTAAGGACTGGCCAACCACCAGTCACCGTAATGGTCAACACACGTAAATAATATAGCGAAAGTGGCTAGATTATGGTTGAAAATTGCTAAAATGCCTTAAATGCAGGACAAGAAAAACAAATGCTACAGTGTAAAAAAAGCCATAAGAAAAAATGGTATACTTTCAACATTTAATTTATGGCTGTAATAGTACTAAATACACAAAAAAAATATAATAATGCGTGTGACTGAAGAACAAAGAAAAGCAGTACATGGCACTACAGGCTCGCCCAAAAACTGCTAGCAGCTAAGTTGACAACACCGTACAGGCGTACGGTACACGTGACTTAGCTGACGAAAACTGAACGAGATCTCTACTGTTTCCACCTCCCCTCTCTCAGTCTCTCTCGTTATTACAGTTTCATGTTTCTTTCCGTGGAGAAAATGATGGAAGCTGAAATTCCGGACTTTTGAAGAATTTTAAAAATTACTTCCGGATGAAGATTTCGGGAAAATACGGATGTATGGCAACCCTAACATCTGCATCCGGGGTTCAAAATTTATGTGACGCCATATTTAAAGATTTTTATTTAAAAGGGATTCGGTAGGCCCAATTTCCACCTGCACCAGACTTTTATAAACCACTATTGTATTTATAACTGCTTAAAATCGTTAACTGAGTCTTTTGTTCCTGATTTTTTCTGCGAAGCTGTAAATATTAGTGAATAAATTAAAGTGAATGGTAAAGTAATAAAAATTGGATATGCTGATGATACTGCTCTTACTACAGATAGTGAAGAAACTGATACACTAAACAGATCAGAGGAAAAGGGTAAGGAATGTGAGCTTACAGTTAACAAATTCCTATTATAAACCCCTTCACTATGAGATTGTCAAGTTAAATATTTTATTTGGCTAACACCAGACGATTTTATTCAGCTCAGAGGGGATCCCGTACACATGGGGTTAAATGCAAGTTTTGTTTGAGCTATTCTTTTTTTTCCCACTTCTACTATCACGGCTTATTTTGCTTCCCAAAATAAACTAAAATGTTCATCTGCTAACATAATTTTGCTTTTAGGGTTTATCATCTCTTGGGAAATCGCCATTACATCTGTCTTTACAGCATTAATGCTGGGTCTTCAGGAAACATTAAAGGCGTCTCACAGAGTACACATTTGATATAATTAAAAAAGGCGTTCACTCTATTCTATGG